CTTACAGCCGGGCAGCCTGCAGACTGGCGGGGGGAGGTGGCCCGGGGGCAGATTAACGCCCCCCCCCCCCGTCAGGGAGGGAGGGAGTGAGTAGGACAGGGGCTAGGAGTGCTGCCCAGTCAGGGTGGTACATGGGGTGGGGGCTGGGAGTGGGACAAACTCCTGGCGGCTCCTCCAGGGGTGGGGCTAGCTCCCCATTACTGCACACACTCAAGGTGGGGGCCATAGGGCGACACGTGCCCCCCAGATTTGTATGCGCGGTGGGGTCAGACGTGTGCCCCTGCAGCTGCCGGGTGGGTAGGGCAGGGGCACCTGGTCAGCACGCGGCTGCCGCGGGAAAGACAGCAGGGCGTGGGTCTCCCCTGCCCACGCAGTGCTGGCCGCCCCCTCCCAGCGCCGCCCATTGGTTCAGCCCCGCGCCGGGGAACAGAGCCATGAGACCAGCACACGCAGCCGCGGGGGCGCTGCACTGTGACCCCCCCAGTCCCACACAGTGGTACTGCCCCACCCCCCGTAGCCGTTGGCCTGTGGCGTTGCCCACCCCCCGCGCCGGTTGGTAGGCGCCGCGCTAGCGGATTGGCCACGCGGCCCCGCAGTCGGCGCTGCGGCTCCTCAGTGCGTGCGTGGCGCTCTGGCCCGCTGGGTTGTCTCGGCGCGGCCCGGCCCGGTGGAGCGGCACGATGTCTGCGGGTAGGTGGCCGCCCCCTGGGCCGCGAGGGGCGTGTGGCGCAGGTGAGAATAGGCTGCGCGCCGCCATGTTGGGGTGGCGCCCCCAGCCCCCGGGCTGGTTGTGCGGCCCCCCGAGGGGGAGGAGTCGCCGAGCAGCCCCGCCCCTCGCCGCGCCCAGGAGGCTGCCTGGGAGTAGGGTCAGCCGGGGTTGGGGGGCGGTCCCCGCTGTGCCAGGTCTTACTTTTGCGTGACACACGGGAGCATGTCTCCCGGAAAGTTATTGCACGTTATTATTAAGAAAAGCGTGCTTTAAAAATGGCCCTTCAAATTTGGGAGATGGGACAGGCCTTTTGTGCTGGTTGCTGAGTTTAGGCAGCATGTTGGTTCCAACCAGGGCCCCGTGAATTTTTCAAAGGTTCAGAAAAAGTGATACACTAGCAATCCTAGAATACCTAATCTCTCCAATAATACTCCAAGACTCACCCCTCTGTTAGCCTTTTCTAAACTAAATCACAGTGGAAGTTCATAAAGGGCCTTTGATCATTATTATCATACTGCACACGCCAAATAATTTTTTCTAGCTTATTGGGTTGTTTTACAGTCTCCTTGTCTGGTTACACCTGGACTTTGACAAAAAATGCCTTAGTTTGGCAGAAGGTTGCAAGTAAATTGGGGAGATCAAAATCAGTCCTCTAATTTAGAGCTGATTACGTTCTTATCTGATGAGCTCCCTTTGCTACAACTCCATAATTTTTTTAGTTCAGTGTTTTAATTCATTTTGATATATCTTTAAATATGTTAAACCCATGATTCTTGAGCCAGATGTTGTTGGGACCCTGGGGCAGCACTGTTGCATGTAAAAATGTGATTCAGAAAATAAACTCAGAAATTTCAACTAGGAATCTATAATATTGGAAACATTGTGACATTTTGCGGTCTTTCTCAGTTCTTTGCAATAGAAGTTTATTACTATTATTATTATTCCTATTCCTATTATTCTTCTGCAGTCAAAGGAACTGGATTGATAAAATGGTAAATGAGGATTTTACTAGTAAGGGAACAGGGAGGTTGTATGTGTGTAGGAGGCATCATGAACAGCATGAAGGTGGGGAAAGAGTAACATAGTGAAAAGAATAGGAATAGCATGGCATGGGATAGAGATGAGGATATTACATGATTCTACCTGACTCGCAAGGTGAGGACCCTGTGAGGCAAAGCTTTTTAGAGGGGAATATGGGAATGCCAGGAATAGGGAAATAACATCACCTGTATTGGTGGAATTTGAACTGTGGGTTTGAGAAGCTGGGAAAGGAGTTGCAGTACTTCAGCTGTGATAGAATCATGGCACAAAACTCAGTTTGATTAGTGTGGACACACATGAAGAGGCAGATTATTAGCTGTTTTTTTTAGAGTGAAAAGTAACAATATTTGTCAGGGTCCTGGATGAGGGAAAGAAAAAAATCTCAAGGTTGTCAGGTTGAGTGGCAATAATAATGGCATTGATGGAAGAGGAAAGAAAAGTTCAAGGTTTATATGCAAAATTTGAGATGATCTTTCCCAGACCATGTGCCAGAAAGAGACATGAACCTGGATAGAGGGGAGAGATTGACTCTGTCATTAGCATTAGGTTAACAGTGTTTTGCTTCTGTTTTTCATCTCTTGAGTTGGTCTTCAAATTTGGATTAGATCACAGATGACTTCAAGAAGTAGTTAAAAAAATGTTATACAAATTGAGAGAAGTGTTTTGGGTTTTTAAAGCCTTTTTTAAAAGCCTTTAAAGCTCACCAAAAGGGAATGTGTTTTTGAAAGTCCATATATATTATGTCAGCTGGATCCCTCTTGTCCACATGCTTCTTAACACCCTCAAAGAACTCCAGCAGATTGGTGATATGGGCTTGCTCTTTACAAAAACCATGTTGACTCTTTCTCAACAGATCATATTTGTCTATGCAGATGCTGATTTTATTTTTCATTATAGATTCTACTGCCTTGCCAGGGATAGATGTGAGACTTACTGGTCTCTAGTTCTCAGGATTGCCTCTGGAGCCCTTTCTGAAGATGGGCATTATGCTGGCAACCCTCCAGTCCTCTGGCACTGGCTGTTTTTCACAATAGGTTATATATTATTGCCAGCAATTCATCAGTCTTTCAAAACTCTGGCAAATGCCATCTGGCCCTACTGACTTATTAGTATTTAGTTTGTTGATTTGTTCTAAAACTCCCTGTTTTGTCGCATCAATGTAGTCCAGCTCTTCAGAACTACCTACTAAAAAGGATTGATCTGGCATGAGAATTTTCCCAGTACCTTCTGTGGTAAACACCAATGCAAGAAATGCATTTAGCTTCTCTGCTGTGGCCTTATCTTCTGAATGCACATTTTACACATTAGTCATCCAGTGGTCACACCAAATCTCTTACTGGCCTTCTGCTTTTGATATATCTAAAAAGTTTTTATTAACTTCAACATCTTCTGCTTAGATACTCCTCACTTTTCATTTTTACGCTTGACCTGCCAGAGTTTGTGGGTTTTCCTGTTTTTCTCCTTTGGGCATGCCTTCCTTTTGTGAAGAAATGCCCTTTTGCCTTCAACAGCCTCCTTAACTGTGCTGTTGAACCAGGCAGAAGTTTTATTGATCTGCTTGGTACTTGTTTTGAATTGTGGTATACACTTTTCCTGAACCTCTGGTATGTTATTTTTAAACAGCTTTCAGGCTGCCTGCAGGCTTTTTACTAGAGGTGCACCGATACATCAGTCCAATATCAGATCGGTACTGGTATAAAGAATATTGACTGTATCGGAAATCGGCTGGATGTGGCCGATAATTTGGCCAATAAATGTCATGCATGTGCACAGCCGCAGCAAAGCATGCAGGCAGCAGGAGCACGGCCAAGCAGCGCTGGTAAGTCCATCGTGGTGGAAGGGGAGGGAAGGTAAGGGAAGGGCCATGGGGGGGCAGATCAGCCCACCCTCACAGCAAGGGTCAGGGCACAGGCAGGCAGTGCCTAGCCGTGGCAGGGGGGAGGAGGGGGCCACGGGACAGAGCCGTGGCTCATCGGGGGGGAGGAGGGGTGAAGCAGTGGTGGGAGCCACTTCCCATACCCTGAGAGGGCCTGGGGGAGGTGTACCCCCAGTTCTGTGCAGGGCGGGTAGGCAGGCTGAAGCCAGGATTGTGCTGGACTCTTCTTGTAAGGGCGAGGGCTATGGAGGGGGCTGCAGCCACCCCAGATTTCGCCATAGCTCCCTCCCAGTGCTGCGGCCATTGGCCGCCTGGCGCAGCCCCAGATCTTCCATGGCGCGTGGGTGGAGGCAGGGGTTGAGCCCCAGAACTGCTGCGCCATATGGCTGGCGGTGCTGGAAGGGAGCTACGGTGAAATTTGGGGTGGCTGTAGCCCCTGCCCTGAGCCCAGCCCCTGGCAAGCAGCCCCAGCTGCAGCCTGCCCACCATTCCCCGCCCTGCCCTGCGCAGATCCATGGGCACCCGCCCCCCCCCCCGGTGCCGTTCTGTGGTGTAAGCAGATGCAGGAGCCTCCCCCTCTGGCCCCATCTAGGCAGTGCTTGCTGCTGCTGCCCCCTTCTTCACTACAGAGAGTGGGGGGTGATCTGCCCATCCCCCCCCCCCTTCTTTCCCCTTCCACCACAATGGACTTACCACCTGCAGGCAGCTCTCTGTGCTGTATCGGAAATCAGATCGTATTGGCCAATATGCCTCCTTAAAAATCAGATATCAGTATTGGCCCCCAAAATCTTTATCAGTGCAACCCTACTCTTTTACATTTTTGACTGTTCCTATAAACTTCTTTTTTAACCAACTTCCTAATTGTTGTGTAATTGTCCTTCTTGAAGTTGTTCATTGGAGTGGTGGACTTGTTTGGCTTATTGCAGGGGTGAGGAAAATATGGCCCATAAGCCAGATATGGCATACCAACTAATTGGATCTGGTGCACTTGCAGGCGCCCATCCATTGATTGCATCTGGCCCATGGCTACCCCTGTGGTGCTCTGTGTGGGGCCAGCGCCCACCCAGGGCAGCCTGCACTGCATTCCCGCTGGCCTCCCACCCTGGCTAGCACATCCAGCTTCTCAGCTGGTCTGCTGCGCAGCTACTTAGATATTACTGAGCTCCCCCCACCTCTGGTTCCTGTCAGACCAACCTGGTGGCCTTCTATGATCAGATCACCAAGTCATTAGATGCAGGGGTAGCAGTGGACATAGTCTTCCTGGACTG